CAACCAACATATTTATTTACTAATACACAAACACGATCATTGCAGCAAGCGCATAATCGCTTTTCTTAGACTCTTCATTGAGGTACTGTACAGTACTTATACAAAAAGTGCTCTGATATCCAGTCATAAAAAGTCGAAGTTTTTATTTCACTGATTTATCTAAAAATTATATTATAGTCAGATGAAAAAATCAGATTGGACCAATTTACTTACACTTATTTTTTTACATAGTAAATTTATGTCAACAAAAAAGCTCAGATGACAATACTTTGAAAAAAGAAAACGCTCTCGTTTAACTAAAATTAATATTAACAATACTTTTAATTATAATTGTTAATTATTGGTTGAAAAAAATTATCGGTTGCTTTAATAAACAAATTTCTCTTCGCAAAAGTATATTATTCTTTTCGTTACTAACTTCTGAAACGTAACCCATGCATTTGTCCTTTGTTTCGTTTAGCGTGGAAGCATGGATTCGCATAACACAACACTTTTCGGAACGTAACTACCGCGTTATACGAGGGATACCTGTACAGTCGATCCTCCTATAAGACGGTAGATACGTTCTGTTCTTTACGAATCAATTTTGTAGGAATCACAGCCCGACACGTGTGAAGTTTACGGACTACGGCTGTTTGAAAGGTTTTCTTCCATAAAATTAATCGATTCTAGACTAATCCGACTCAACATTTCCAAAATATGCATATATTTTTTGGAAATAATCCGTATAAACTACGCTATAAACAAAAAATTGTAGGATTACTTACCGAGTGTGCACCATTCGACATCCCATTGCNCATCATAGAATAGATTTTACAAAGTTCAAGATAATATAAAGATTAATGGTGCTAGTAACTATCCCTAAAGAATAGTTGCTAGCACCATTAATTTTTATATTGTCCCTTAATCCCAAAGTTCATTTAGTTGCTCCTTCTGTTGAGAAGACTGAAATTTTCTCTCCTCTGCTGATCTTTATACAACTTCTACTAGACTAATAGATCAATTTATAATGTAAATGAGAGATATCTATTAGTATAAATTAAAAATCAATCATCAAACAAATATCATAATTATGTAAATAATTTTTATTCAACAGGAAACTGAACAAAGCAATTACTGTAGAATATCAATTATCCAAACTTCCAATTGATTAAATCATCGCAAGTTTCCTAAACTCATAGTCAGCCCATACATTCGTTTTTACTTTTCCACTTGTTATGTATATTTCATCCCTTGTTATATATATAAGTATTGAAATCGTGTCAAATTTGACCCTCTGAGTTTTTTTGCAAATTGCCACATTTGAAATCTCCTGAATCCAAAAAAGTCAAAAAAATGGAAAAATTCTGTGAATGTGTGTGTGTTGGCATCTATTATCTTTAATATCTCAGGATGAGGTAAGCATTAAGAAATTAAATTGGGCATTGAAACTACTGTATTAAGTTTTGGTTGTGAAAGGTCGAGGGGATGGAAAAATAGAGGGGTGGTTATGTCATATCTCGCATGGGGTGGACTTAATGAAGATTTTACTTGTTAGCATTACTGTTTTTTTTTATAAAACTCATCTCTACTCTCAAAATTAAGTCTATATTTTAATTATTATAAAATGGCAAAAGAAAGTTTTTATAATAGATGACATCATGTACAATTTTAATTTATTTATTATGATTATATATTATTAAACATCTTTCTTTCTTTCTTTATCCCATGGTTTATTTAGAGACTTCAGCCTTGTTTGCTCTCTTCTCTGAAATATGATACCTGGTGTTTAAAGAGGCCTGTGCAATAAACATAGTGTTCCAACCACACAACGTGCTGACAAGGAGGGATGTCAGTATTTGGCCAGTATACTGGCATAAGGACGACAATAAGATTTGATGATGGTGCAGCCGAGGTCTTGACGTGCCATTGCATAATGTGGGCAGTAAAGCCAGTAGTGTAGAGTAGTTTCTGGAGTACCACAGTGAGGGCAAGCCGGAGAGTCACATAGGCACTGAGAGTGAAGAAATCTGTTCAACGGGGCCGTCTCTGTTCGAAGATGGACCAGAAGTGTTTCTGCATGCCTCAACAAAGCATAGCGATAAGCTCAAGAAATGAAAGGTCAGAGATAATCACGACCTTTGTTGCGGAGAGCAGATGTCCAGGTATCAGTTAGTGCATGAATGGTTCAGTCTCTTGTGTGACGGAAGAGGTCACGTGGCATTAGTGTTTTCCATGCAGAGTCAATTGGCAAGTCTCTATGTGTCACTTTGTCTCCAGCTTCATTTATTGGGATGTCTGCATCGCATGGAGTCCCCCAACAACTAAGGGCACTGTATGTGAACTGATGGAGTCTGCTAGGTCAATGATGACTGGAGGCGAAGAGAATGTGGCATTGGCTACAGCTTTTCATCATATTATAATACAAGTATCCACATCTTCCACCGGTCTTTCTTTTATGGAAAATGTCGAACTAGTGGATAAAACTTTACATAAATAGAAAATGGAATGCGTAGAGTTAGAATGGATTATCCCAAGACCGGATTTCCTCTTCCCGAATTTCAAGTTCATGGGGAATGAGTGGATGGTGGGCGGTACCTTCGAACCGGTAATTCATCAATTTGAAAGACTACTATTAACTGCCTCTCACCTAACGTCTAGTATCCTTTGTGAAATTAAAATCGTCAATAAATGTATCGTGTGCAGCCAAGAACGATTCGATGGACAAGAACTGCACACTAAAATGTCTTTGGGATAGTTTTTGGCTGCCGAAAGGTAATAGGATTTTCCAGCGTCTGGTTCGCATTCCATGCCTATTTCCTACATTAAATATTTGTTTAATAACTATTAACTTTTATCTTTTTTACTAATGTATTATAAATGTCACTTACGTTGCATATCTGCGAACAAGATGGGCAGACGATGGTTCCTATGTGCAACCAGTTCTGGTAAAGAAGCTGAATCTTTAACTGTTGAGATTCGTAAAAACACGTGTAAGTGTTATTGGCTACTTCGATATGGAGACGTCCGTCTTTACAGTGATACTGAAATGAAAAAAAAAAGTAAATAGCCAAACAAATTCTTAAGTGTTTATGTTCATGTGTTTCTACATCAGAATAAATTTACTCTATTATATTCTATATAACATAGGAGGAAGATTTTTAAAATTATTATAATATATGAACCAGAATTACTAAGTATTTTAGAAAATTTTTTATTCTACCTATAAAGAAAAGATCAAACTATGTGTAACCTTTTAACCTTACTCTTTTACTACAAGTTAATGGGATATAAAACCGCCACAATTTTTTCGCCGTCTTATAGGAATCGTAATTGTAGGAACCCGTCTTATAGGGGGATCTACTGTATTGTACTTGCACATATTGTGAAATTGGTTATCAAGTAAAGTTAATTACCACTGATACAGTATCCACGTTTATTTTAATCTTTATCATGGCGTTGAGTGCATCTTTGAATAAGTTTAGCATGGATCGTTAGCATCGGTTTCCGTTTATTTCGTAGGAAAAATACCCATATCATGCGACCTGTCGCATCTACACCCGTAAGTCATTGAATGACTTACGGGTGTAGTTGTGACACGACACAGCGCTGCAGCTTCCAGCATTGTGCCAGGACGATGATGTAGGACTAATCGATGCAGAAGTCGGTCCTCTATGCGCTACGGACAACCACTACTCGATGGTCGTCCGAACAATCCTTCCGTGAAGGCTTGTACGGTTGACTATGGAAATTTAAGGTCTCTGGATATTTCCCTATATAAATCACCGTCTTGCCTTTTGGAAATTATCATCTCCCTCAACTGCAGTGATAGTCTGCGTCCTCCCATGCTGATGATAGACGTAATCGTCCACAGCTGCTAGTAAACGTATGACAGACCGCTATACAGTATCCAGTGCAATGGCAGCTGCAGCTTTTAAGGTTGGACAAAACGTTTGGTACATTTGCATTTCTGGATGAATTATCCAATATGCATTACAAAACATGCTCATGTTTTGTTTTCTTGCTACGCCTAAATAATAAATAAAAATGTATTTTTACATTTTATGTCATATTTTCGTATGGTTCCTGATATTCGACAAAAGTGCCCTGGTCGAAATATTACTGAAAGAAGGTACAGTAGAAAGTATGAAGATGCAACATAGGTAGCTCTGTGGTGGTGATGTCACCCTTTATTGTTGTCAGTTGCATTAATCTTATAGTATATCAACTTCCTTGCAGTAAGTAATTTTAATAATTTCAATGTAATATTTTTATATCATTTTTGCGTTGAAGAATCACTTTGTACTTTATTCTCGACCAAGAAGTAAGTTTTTTTGAATTCGATACTAAAAAAGCATAAAAGTAAAATAACGTTTTTATTCTTGATGTAAGAAGTGTTTAATACAATCAGAATTTTTTATTTCAAATTTAACCGCCGAAAATTCCGTAGGGAATTTTCAGCGGTCATGGGTTCATTAGGAGGTTTTTTAAAGAAAAATTCATTTTAAGTTTTTTTATCTTTAAATAAGTTTAAAATTTATTGAAAATACATTATAAGAATTTCCGACAAAAAACGAGTAAAGAATTACAAACGAGTTTACAACATAAACAATAGTTATTATACGTAATTCGTTTCATCCGAAAAAAACTGTTAAGTAACGAAGTACGATATAAATAAACGGAAACTCTATTCTATGTAGAGCATCCGACCGGCAACGACCTCTCCATCTTCAGATTCAGCGTCTCTATTCAATCCATATACATATAAACTCTTAAGTATATATATACATATATACTTCTTTTAATAATAAAAATTTTTCTTCACTATACGTGACACAAATGTAAAGTCATTTCCTTTTATCACAGAATATTCGAACTGTACATCATATTATAATACAAGTATCCACATCTTCCACCGGTCTTTCTTTTATGGAAAATGTCGAACTAGTGGATAAAACTTTACATAAATAGAAAATGGAATGCGTAGAGTTAGAATGGATTATCCCAAGACCGGCCTCTTCCCGAATTTCAAGTTCATGGGGAATGAGTGGATGGTGGGCGGTACCTTCGAACCGGTAATTCATCAATTTGAAAGACTACTATTAACTGCCTCTCACCTAACGTCTAGTATCCTTTGTGAAATTAAAATCGTCAATAAATGTATCGTGTGCAGCCAAGAACGATTCGATGGACAAGAACTGCACACTAAAATGTCTTTGGGATAGTTTTTGGCTGCCGAAAGGTAATAGGATTTTCCAGCGTCTGGTTCGCATTCCATGCCTATTTCCTACATTAAATATTTGTTTAATAACTATTAACTTTTATCTTTTTTACTAATGTATTATAAATGTCACTTACGTTGCATATCTGCGAACAAGATGGGCAGACGATGGTTCCTATGTGCAACCAGTTCTGGTAAAGAAGCTGAATCTTTAACTGTTGAGATTCGTAAAAACACGTGTAAGTGTTATTGGCTACTTCGATATGGAGACGTCCGTCTTTACAGTGATACTGAAATGAAAAAAAAAGTAAATAGCCAAACAAATTCTTAAGTGTTTATGTTCATGTGTTTCTACATCAGAATAAATTTACTCTATTATATTCTATATAACATAGGAGGAAGATTTTTAAAATTATTATAATATATGAACCAGAATTACTAAGTATTTTAGAAAATTTTTTATTCTACCTATAAAGAAAAGATCAAACTATGTGTAACCTTTTAACCTTACTCTTTTACTACAAGTTAATGGGATATAAATATTATAAATTAATGTGTTTAATTAATGAAATAGTTTTTATAGCACTTTTACATTCGTGGTATTAAAATGCAATAATGAAAATTGATTATTAGTAGTAATAAAGAACTAACTGACTACATAATAAATCATCATAGAATAGATTTTACAAAGTTCAAGATAATATAAAGATTAATGGTGCTAGTAACTATCCCTAAAGAATAGTTGCTAGCACCATTAATTTTTATATTGTCCCTTAATCCCAAAGTTCATTTAGTTGCTCCTTCTGTTGAGAAGACTGAAATTTTCTCTCCTCTGCTGATCTTTATACAACTTCTACTAGACTAATAGATCAATTTATAATGTAAATGAGAGATATCTATTAGTATAAATTAAAAATCAATCATCAAACAAATATCATAATTATGTAAATAATTTTTATTCAACAGGAAACTGAACAAAGCAATTACTGTAGAATATCAATTATCCAAACTTCCAATTGATTAAATCATCGCAAGTTTCCTAAACTCATAGTCAGCCCATACATTCGTTTTTACTTTTCCACTTGTTATGTATATTTCATCCCTTGTTATATATATAAGTATTGAAATCGTGTCAAATTTGACCCTCTGAGTTTTTTTGCAAATTGCCACATTTGAAACCTCCTGAATCCAAAAAAGTCAAAAAAATGGAAAAATTCTGTGAATGTGTGTGTGTTGGCATCTATTATCTTTAATATCTCAGGATGAGGTAAGCATTAAGAAATTAAATTGGGCATTGAAACTACTGTATTAAGTTTTGGTTGTGAAAGGTCGAGGGGATGGAAAAATAGAGGGGTGGTTATGTCATATCTCGCATGGGGTGGACTTAATGAAGATTTTACTTGTTAGCATTACTGTTTTTTTTTATAAAACTCATCTCTACTCTCAAAATTAAGTCTATATTTTAATTATTATAAAATGGCAAAAGAAAGTTTTTATAATAGATGACATCATGTACAATTTTAATTTATTTATTATGATTATATATTATTAAACATCTTTCTTTCTTTCTTTATCCCATGGTTTATTTAGAGACTTCAGCCTTGTTTGCTCTCTTCTCTGAAATATGATACCTGGTGTTTAAAGAGGCCTGTGCAATAAACATAGTGTTCCAACCACACAACGTGCTGACAAGGAGGGATGTCAGTATTTGGCCAGTATACTGGCATAAGGATGACAATAAGATTTGATGATGGTGCAGCCGAGGTCTTGACGTGCCATTGCATAATGTGGGCAGTAAAGCCAGTAGTGTAGAGTAGTTTCTGGAGTACCACAGTGAGGGCAAGCCGGAGAGTCACATAGGCACTGAGAGTGAAGAAATCTGTTCAACGGGGCCGTCTCTGTTCGAAGATGGGCCAGAAGTGTTTCTGCATGCCTCAACAAAGCATAGCGATAAGCTCAAGAAATGAAAGGTCAGAGATAATCACGACCTTTGTTGCGGAGAGCAGATGTCCAGGTATCAGTTAGTGCATGAATGGTTCAGTCTCTTGTGTGACGGAAGAGGTCACGTGGCATTAGTGTTTTCCATGCAGAGTCAATTGGCAAGTCTCTATGTGTCACTTTGTCTCCAGCTTCATTTATTGGGATGTCTGCATCGCATGGAGTCCCCCAACAACTAAGGGCACTGTATGTGAACTGATGGAGTCTGCTAGGTCAATGATGACTGGAGGCGAAGAGAATGTGGCATTGGCTACAGCTTGTAAGACTGATCTGCTATCAGATAGAATGACTGTCAGACTGTGGAGTGGTTTGCTAAGTTGGATCGCCTGCTGAATACCGAGGGCTTTGGCCCCAGCAACACTGCAATGATCGTTGAGTGTTCAGGTTTCACTGATGTGGCTATCCGGAAGTACTGTACCACACTGATAGCTGTCCTGGTGCAAGATTTAGGGGCATCCACATCAAGAAGAGTCCAGCCCAGCCATTTGTTAGTTACAGTCTTGAAGAACCTGGAGCACGTGACTACGGGCAGGTCGTTGATTGACATTGGGAAGTCATCTAGGCTAAGATGAGGATGGATACGAACAATGCTCGGAGGTATGTGCCAGACCGGTAGGCCTTCCTGCCGGATGTGGTAAAGTACTGTACATGGGGGTGTACAGCCCCTAATATGAGTGCCAACGATAATATTCCATACTGGAAGCCGTTTGGTAGAGGTTGTACAGTGGACTGTACAGGCCTCTTGACAGTTGTGTAAAAGCATGAGACATGGCCAACTGTAACAGAATGTAGCCAGTCTCTGCATAGAAAGACAGGAGGGGAGTCGTAGTCAGCATGCCCAAGGCCAGCGTGGAGAGGTTTCTCTATCCAGCATATCGTACTTAAGGGGTGCTGTTCAGGAGCAGTGCCTCAAATTCCACCAATGGGCAAAGAACTGTATAGACCAGTTGGGGGAGGTTGGCAGTGAGAACACTGTTATGGCAAGAAGCAAAGTACTTGAGATACGAGCCTGCCCAGGTCAGTGTCGCCTGCAGGAAGGCCTCATGGACAGTCCAGGTGAATGTTTGTGAGAAGTGGATGCCCAATATCCATAAGGATGAGTGCTGGGGGATAGGCCCCGAATATAAACATCTCGAAACCCAATATATTTATATTTTTATATTAGTGACAAACAGTGGCGTGTTGTCAATAGAAGCTGTGGAAGTGCCGCTTTCCTTGTATTTTCTAAAATATAAATACATATTGTGCGATTATTTTCATATTTTAATGTACTTTGAATTACTTAAAATTAATTATTTATTATCACTGCATTATGTATCCTATTACAAATTTCTATACTACATATGAAAAACAATGATAAGATTACTATTGTATATTCGAATATAAATTTGTGTATGCATATTCCCAATGGAAACACTGTATTGTTGGTTACAGGACAGCTTCCGCGGCAAAAATATCTGAATCGTGTAAAGCAGCTAGATTATAGGCATTCGCGCATGTGCTTTACAGAGCACCAACTTCTCTCAGTTTAGCTCGTGGATGATACACACCAAAATATCTTATAATGCTTCCAATGATTCCATTCATTAGCCACTGGTAGGGAGCTATTTGACTAAGTGCATTGTTTTAAGATTTAAAACATAAAAAAGATTGTAAAGAAACATATATAAAAAAGCTATATTTAATTATAATTACATTGACAGATTTTCAGACAAAAAATTCTCCATAAAATTTACCTAAAGAATTAAAACTCTTTGGAAAATTGTTTTACATAATATTTAAAGTTATTAACATCTAAAAGTGATAAAAATGTTAAAACGATTTTGATTTATTTAAATTACGTAGTGAATTGCAATATTTATATATTTTTTGTCCAGATTATATTGGCAAGTCACTCAGACATAAAATATGTTCAGATCGTCATTAATTATAATAAAGACATACTAAAAGAATTATATGATTTAATATCATTAATTTTTATGGTACCATCTATGAGTGCAGTTTTTCAACCATGAAGTGAATTGATACATTGGCAAAGAACACTCAGAGGAAATATTATCATAAAAATTGCTCTTCATTGATTCCATCAAAGTATTTAAAAGCTCTTTTTCTATTGAAAGCAATGCTAGTGATGACAGAGTAATTAACAACTTTGCAGAAAAATTGCTGAATAGAGTTAGTTTATAAAAAATAATAAAAACAAGTTTTTATATCTTTGTTTCATGTCAATTATCTACTTTAAATAGTTTATTTATTTTAATTCTATTTTTGTCATTTCCAGTATTTGTTTAAAATCTTTATGGTAACACAGCTTCCCTATCATCAAATGTCACTGCATGCCACTGGTGACAAATTATTTAATATAATCACAGAAAAGTAGCCCGATGTAATCCAGTAGTTGTTTGACTTATTAAAATCTTATAATGACTGGGAAAGTTATGCAACTTGCAGTGCTCTGTTTAATTTTCAAACTTTATTCTATCTTTTCATGGATGCTAAAAAATTTTCTATATCAAACAATGAAAACATGTCATTCTAATAATGGCAAAGTGGAAATAACTCATTTCTTGAGAAAGTGCAACTAGGAAAACTATTGCCAAAACTATGATATTAGACATTAAAAAGAAGAGCGTGAAATATCAAACAGTTAAATTCCTTTATTGGGTTATTAAAGCTAAATAATTACTAAGTAATTTGGCAGTTAGGCTGCCATCTCTAGTTAATAATTAATTAACTTTCTGTCAAATTACTTAAATTTATTATTTGGTCTTAATAACCTAGTAAAGGAATTCAACTGTTTATTTGATATTTGAAGTAATTATTGGGTTGGTTGTGAGGAGAGTGAGTCAATTCAGCTGTTCATTTCTATACTAGAAACTGAAGATGGTAGCTGTAACAGACAGTATAATATTTTCATTTTCTATTTCCACATTAAACAGGTCATTAATCAGTTAATGCAATTTTTTTTTATGGCTGCTGAAATTTTTCCTTTAAATCTGAAAAAGAATTTAAACCATGAAAGTCACAAGAAGATAGAACAGTGTCACTGTTAGTGACATGTTGTATCTTCTTGTGACTTTTACATTACAGGAGCACAAACAAGAAGAGAATGTTCCAAAATAAAAGATGAACTGGCTTTTGATCACATCATGCATTCCAAGGAAAATTTTTTGATGCAGATCCTAATGTAGAAAAAAGTGTAGATGTACAGAAAAATCTTGATAAATGTACAATTGCACCTGTTGCAAATTGTATAAGGAAACAAAAAAGATTAACACTGTTCAAACAACATTAAATATTTTTCAAAACAGTAGCTAATTGAATAAATAAAGTATATTTGAGCATTAAGGAAATATTTATGCAATTATTTTCTATTAATTTTATCCTCTCACATGATTATATATTACTAGCTGTTACCCGCGACTTCGTCAGCGGAGGTTTTGCAAGCAAACCCCATTTACATCCAATATTTCAATAACCATAGTAATTGTTATATAACACCTACCGCTGAAGAGAATTGCCGAAAATCAAACGAACTATTTTCAATTTGATCAATTTTCTNCTAAAGCACAATCTAAATTTATAATTTAAATATATTAATTATAATTAATAATAAATTTTTTGAACTATTTCATTAAATCTGTTCTTATAAAATAATACCTTATAACAGCCACTTCCCCAATGTTGCCATTGTCTAACATGAAAACAAGTTCTTTCCTCCCACATAACTTTATTATGGTTGAAACATTTGGATCCAGATCCATAATATTCAAGAGCAAAATTCTTTTCTGGATCTATATGTATAAATAATTGTAAAGATTTAATTAGATAGTCACATAATAAATATAAAGTATATTAATATTACAAAATATATTTGGTCAATAATAACTAAATCATAACATGTAATTTTAATTTCTAAATATGCTTGATTTTCAGTATAGTCTATAAGTTAAAAAAAAAAATGAGAAAAATCTATAAATAATTAAGGCATTGGATTAATTAACAATTTAAACTGATTTTACAAAATGTGAAAATGTGTTTGCTTACCACTAAAAAAATAGAATTTCTAAATCTATATAGTTTTTTATTGTAATTCATTTCTAGAAATGTTGGAATTTGATTGTTATGCTTTCACTTTAATTATATTGTTTAAAATTTTATTAATTATAAACATTACAAGTTTATTGAAATATTAATAAATTTTTTATTAAAAAATATCACTAATAATACAAATATAAATATATAATGAAATTTCATTCCACTTGCTTTTGGATTTTCTAAAGCTTTGGATACTTAATGTTTATTTACCTTCTTTTTTGCCAAATTTAATTATTTTTAAACTATTTATCCAGAATAACTGAAATCTTTTTTAGCTCATATAATTAAAAATAAGGATACCCAGTGGGTGATCGGTTAATGAACATAATCCGTTCCAAAACTTTGTTCACTATCCGAACTGTTTGTTAACCAATTGCCGACTGTTTGTTAACTGATGCATAGATTATTGATTTACTACAGGTTTTTATGGAATTTGTTTAATTTGTTCTGGAGACCCAAAAAATAAAAAATACATACTTTCTTACTACGTTTATTTATTTGTAATAATAAAAATACATATACACAGTCTTGCATTTTTATTAGTCATGTTTTTTCCATTTGTGGGGGTTAAAGAATCTGTCCAATGTCGATTGTTTTTCTCTTCTTTAGGATTTTTCAGAAGTAATCTTGTTATAGAGATCCCCAAGCCTATTAATCTCATTCTGGTTTGGATGCCATTTGGATGACCTTGTTCTGACACCCTCCCACTTCTTCAAAAGAACTTTAATAACAGATGTCAGCATTGGTCCTCTTTCATCTTCCTCTTTTTCAGAAGAAAACATTGAGTTTCTTGGAGTTGTCATCAATTCAGTTTCAGATTCCATTATGAGCTCTTCAATTCTCTTTATTTCTCAGATGTGATTTTCATTACTCCTTTAGCTGCTTGAGTCTTCTTGATATAACTTTCATAGCTAAGATTGTGCCTACTATAGATCTGTTCAAGCTTTACTGCCTAGCAACATCAGACATCTTCTGCCTACTCTCTACCTTGGCTATTATCTCTTGCTTGGTTTCTATGGTGAGCACAGTTCTTGAAATTCCACTCTTTTTAGGCTCCAAAATATTATCAGTTTTTATTTTTAAAAAAAGTCCAGAAAAGCACTGACAAAAATTCAGAGAACAGAAATCAACTAGTGCACAAAAAATTATGTAAATTCGAGGCCCTGATGAAATTCGAAATTTGGTATTAAAACATTAATGAATATCTGATGGGACAATTAAACTCTCACTTTTCATAAATTAAAACCAATGCAAAACTTAACAAGCACCCGCCTGACAGTCTCGCGAAGACTATAAAAAATTATTTGTCAGAAAGATAAACAAAAGGCTGAAATTACAAGGGAGAGTTTCAAAATTCAGAGGAATACTCTCCAATCGGTATCTGATTGAGTGTCCAAGCCGACATCTCCCGCGCTCCAAAAGGTTTTGAATTGCTACCTGAAGACAAAGGAAATCAATCGGTTGTTGTTATCACTTCTTTTTATGTTTGTTCTGTGAAGTGTTTGTTGTCCGAACATAAAAATCTTTCACAGAAGTGTTCATTATCCAATTTGTTCACTATCTGAACTGTTCGTTAACTGATCACCCACTGTATTGGATAATTAATTACATTTAACTCTAGTGTGTTAGATTAACATAGATGTATTTTAGAATAATTAAATTAAACTAAAACATATAAAAAGCATAAGAATAATAAAAACAGTAGTTATCTAAATTTTAAGATAATATGTAAATTGTTAATATTAATAAACTTAAATTTTATATTTCAAAAACTTATACAAATTATAAATTTTATCTTTTATTTTATGAGTCTATATTTTGCTAATAATAACTATAAAAGACCTTATTTGTTGGGATGCTATATTAATATTATCATCATCTTCAATCCTTTTTAATTAGGTTGATTTTTCTCACAGCAAACATTATCCATGTTTACTGACATATAATTTTTATTGTGGAATATAACATTTAAATTATAATGCTATACTACAAACATTTATGGTTTAGTAAGAACATTATTGTTTTATAAATGTTAACCTATGTTTAATTGTGTTTTGTAAATCTTCATTTATCAATGTATATTTTTTAATAGATGTAAAACTACATTTGATGATTTAACAGGACGGCACTTGTAGTGAGTGCACTTTAACTACTACTCTGACTGGATTATTATAGTTAACATCTTTTTTCTGGCAGAAAACAAGTTAATACTAGCTGTTCACTTATACTCATTCCTTAACAGCACAATAATTTATTAGTTTGTTTGGAAAGTTCATAGCGATATTTAAGAGAAATAAAAGAAACTGTTTTAAAACTAAAAATATACTTTTATTTCATTATGTATGCACCATTGTTTTTAATGACATGTTGCCATCTATGGGGAGCTTCATGATACCCTCTTCGTAGAACTTTCCAGTTTTTCCTACAAAAAATTGATCCATGTGGTTTTTGCAAGCTTCCAAAGTATCAAAGTTTTTATTGTGAAGGAAATTTTGCAGAAAACAGAATAAATGTTGGTCCAACGGGGCCAGGTTGGGTGAGTATGGGGGTTGGGGTAAAACATCCCAGCCTAGTTCCAATAATTTTTGGTGTGTTCGTAAAGACGTGTGTGATCTGGCATTATCTTGGTGAAATACAATGCCTTTTCTATTGGCCAGTTTCGGACATTTTTCTTTAATTGCCACGTTCAGTTCATCCAATTGGAAACAATACTTATTAGAATCAATTGCTTGATTCTGTGGAAGCAGCTTGTAGTACAGGATTCCTTTCCATCCCACCATACGGTGAGCATGACTTTCTTTGGATGAAGACCAGCCTTTGGAGTTTTTAATGGTAGTTCATTTTTCTTACCCCATGATCATTTTTGGCTGATGTTATAAACAATCTACTTTTCATCACTTGTCACTAAACACTTCAGAAAAGGATCATTTTCATTTTGTCTTTCAAGAGAATCACAAATGGAGATGCGATCCAGTAAGTTCTTTTCTCTTAAGTCATGAGGTATCCAAATGTCGTAATGATTCACATATCTGAGCTTCTTTAGATGTTGAAATACAGTACAGTTTGATGACTTCACTATGTCGAGTTGTGTAATGAGGGTTTCATCCAATAATGCTTTGATCTGGTCCTCTTCAATAACGGGAGGTCTTCCTGAGTGGGGAGCATCTTCAAGGCTGAAATTACATGCTTTAAATTTTGCAAACCACTTTCAAACAGTTGATTCTGGTACAGCACTCCCACCATAAACATCACACATTTTTTTTTTCTGTTTGTACAGCATTTTTGCCTTTACAATAAAAAAGAAAGATTATTCATTTGATTTGTCTTATTGCAAAAATGGATGTGAACAACGTGCATTATTGACACTTAACAGTTTTTTTTTTGTAACGGACATGTCTCAAGGTCATTTATCATAATATTCATTGGTTTGTACAATTCTAGTCATTTTCATGTAATTCTCTCATATCACTGAAGAGAAGCTAAGATAATACATTAGTCCAAAATGCACATGTAAAATTTAAAACATGCCACAATAAAAATTATATATCATTAAACCTGAATGTTTGCTGTGAGAAAAAAATCAACCTAATTAAAAAAGATTAAAGTGATAGAAGATGATGATAAAAATATAAGACTCTTTCATAATGGCTTACGTGGATTATTTTGTGGAAATCGGCATTGTGAACCACGAACAATTATATCATTTGATTTCCATGTAAATTCCTGAAAAATATTAAATTACATTAAACTTCTGATTGTTTTGTAAAATACAATAATAATCTTAATTACAATTTTAAAGATTTATTCAAAATAAAAAAGCAGTTTCTCACTTGAATATATGGACAATAATCTGCCAAAGTTACTGAACCTCCATATCTTCCAACATCTGCATAAGGCACTCCAGGAATAGAATCAAAATTCTAAAAAAATATTAAGTTAAAACTGTTCAATAATTTTTACTTCATTTACAGTATATTCATTTTTTTTTAAATACAGTAAGACCCCTCTTAACACGAGATAAGTTCCTAGATGACAAAGTGCTAAACAAAACAACATTAAACGAGGTCATTTTAACAGAATAAATAGGAATAGGTGAACAAACGACCAAAAATAAACAGATTTTACTTTAATTTTAAGTTATTTTTATATTAATTTGCATAATAATATATGTTAAACAACACACAAACATATGTAAAGTTCATTTTTTTGATGAAAGTCCTGGCTCTTCTGAAATTCTTGTCTAGTGATAATCATNAGTATATTCATTTTTTTTTAAATACAGTAAGACCCCTCTTAACACGAGATAAGTTCCTAGATGACAAAGTGCTAAACAAAACAACATTAAACGAGGTCATTTTAACCAGGGCTGTGGAGACAGAGTTGGGAGAAATTTCTAACCAGAGGAGTCTGAGTTGGAAAAAATATGTCAACTCCGACTCCTGCATTTCAAATTTACTTTAGGTTTTTTATTTAAATGAAAGAAAATATTTATTAACTTTTTAAAATCTTTTTTGTATTTTGTTATAATTCATTTATTTTAAATACAAAATGCATCAATTTAATTTATTAAATATGTAGTATTCTTTGTAGTTTTTGTGTTTAGTACTTAAATTATTTTGACCCAATTGAATTTGAATATTTTTGAATCATTCCTTTATTATCCCTGCTCTAAATAAATATTCTATTTTTCTGAATGAGTCAGACTAATTGATCAAAGTACAAATTTTTCTTTTCTGAACAAGAGGCTGAAGAAGCTAGCTAGATCGCACACTTTTTAGTTGGAACTCTTCTGGAAAGGTGAAGTTGAAGTTCAGATGCTGTCGAATTTATGTAGATGTAAAATTTTATTGCCCCCTTTCTCCTCTTATTAAATATTTCTTAAAAATTAATATTTATTTGTATACAAAAATTATGTAAAGTTAAATAGTAAAAATACTAACTATAAAAGTATTTGGGTAAACATCCCAGACTTCTTTCAGAATTCAGAGAAGGGTATCCCCTATGAGTGCCTCTGCCCTCCATAGAATGACTTGGTATTTAATTTTGCCAGAGTCAGAGTTGGCCTACTAAAATTATCAGGAATCGGAGTCGAGTGTTTTTTTACCAACTCTGCAGCCCTGATTTTAACACAGAGCAAATAGAGAAAGGGGAACACCCACCCAAAAATAAACAGATTTTACTTTAATTTTAAGTTATTTTTATATTAATTTGCATAATAATATATGTTAAACAACACACAAACATATGTAAAGTTCATTTTTTTGATGAAAGTCCTGGCTCTTCTGAAATTCTTGTCTAGTGATAATCATTTGTCACTTTCTTTTTCTTCCATTAAGCAAATGTTAGTATCAAGAGATTGCATCCAAAATGCCTTTTGCACACCTTTCAAAATCTGGATCATTCGTTACAATTTGATCAACAATTTCGGTTATTGTTACCAAACTTTTACTAAGGAAATCTGTAGAGAAATTCTTTGAGTTCGTTGTTTTCAAAATCACTATTTTCCAGTTCTACATGGATTCCTTGTTCTACCAGTTCTTGAAGATTGTCATTGGTAATGCTCTCACCAGAAACCTACAGTAACTCCTCAACATCCTGCTCATCTACATTTCTTAGTCCTGCTGTATCGATTAGGTTGACAATTTGGTCAACCTAATAATACAGCAATAGGCTCTTCTCATTGAGAATCCTTGGACACCTTCATCCATAATTTCTTCCACACTTCATTCATGCATTTATCAGTTAATTATTGCTAAGTGATATCAATATTGCCTATGGCATCCATGATGTTATATTTTTTCCAAAATTGCACCAAACAAACAGATTTAAAGAAGGTACACCTTTTTGCCACCTTTTGCTGATTGGTTCATGTTCGCAAATAATCATATTATATACAAATCAATGAAATGCCGCAATAATTTAAATCAATGTAAATTTTGAGCTTTTTTCAGGCTTCAAGCAATCACATTATATCGAATCAGCGTTAATCAAGGCAGCATTAAGTGGGGTCATACAGTATTATTAAACTAATAGATATTTTTAATGTCATTATTGGTAAAAATAAATGATTCACTTACTTGAAAATTAGGATCTAACTCTTGATCATGTTCCACCAAATTGCACAAAGCCACAGAATCTCTATTATCTGTACATTCTGTTTCTAAAGGATCTCTTTTCACTTTATCACAGTAAGGATGTATGCTTTCTCCTCTAAATAATTTTAAGAATTATTTTATTATATATTTTGTACGTAACTAAAACATTTTTTTTTTCTGTTTGTACAGCATTTTTGCCTTTACAATAAAAAAGAAAGATTATTCATTTGATTTGTCTTATTGCAAAAATGGATGTGAACAACGTGCATTATTGACACTTAACAGTTTTTTTTTTGTAACGGACATGTCTCAAGGTCATTTATCATAATATTCATTGGTTTGTACNAAATTGTTTCATCCCATTAAATAAAGGCTATCTCAACTACTTTAAGAATATTTCAAACTTTAATCTAAAAATAGATAAAATAGCTTATTTATATTTACTGGTTTCATTTTGGCTAATAATTTTTACTGAACTTTAAAATGTAGATTATTATTAAAGTAATGTAATTAAACATCTAAAATTATCTTTAAAACTGATAATCTTGCTTTATTGCATTTGCATTTCAATGAGAAACATTGAATATTTGTGTTTAACAAATTATAGATACTTATATAATTTGATAGAAAATGTGAAAACTTTATTCAATTGCTAATATAAAATTCTTAGAGTGAACTGTAAAAGATTGAATCTATCTTCAAAAGAAGCTCAATTCCATCCTGTCCTTATTCCCAAAAATTTTAAACAAATTTCAATTTTTCAATTGTTAATATCTAATCAAAAACTTTATATGTTCTGATGTCATTTAATTTTTTATTTAATTTGATGATGTTTTTTAATAAATAAATAAAATACCATTATATTGATGTTACTGGAAGTGACTCCATTATTTTCAATTATGAGAAAGTATTTGTAATAATAATAATATATTTAAGTTTAAACTTTTTAAACTACAGGAGAAACTCTTCCACATGCAGGCAGTTCCATCAATGGAAAATTTAAATTTTATGACGTATCTCATCAAGAGGCTTCCTAAAGTACTGAATCTGTGATATGAACTTCAACAAGATGGAGGGGAACCATATGAACATAGAATGTGGTAAACCAGTTTAGGGCTGTTGTTTAACTTTTTCAGGCAACAGTTGTAAGATTTCAGTCTCAGCATGTTTTGCAGCATTCCAGTTAAGACTAAGCTGTGAAGAAATATGTCTATTGTGGTGCATGTCCCTGTTACATTACTGTCAAATTACAAGTTTTGTCACTATCACTTGCATATTAAAAAATACATTCTATTTCTGCTACTGGATGCATCTGATAGTGGAAATGTGCCCATTAGTGGAATTAATTTTGTTTATGTTGCATCAAGTTTGCATCAGCATTGTACCTTTTGAACATTAATCATTAATAAGTTTTCTAGTTAGGAGTGATCTTCAAAATGCCACTGTTAAAGTATTGCCTGAGTAAGAATGCAGAATGATTCTGCTTCTGATGACAAACTTGTTACATATCTATGAATGATTTTTTCCTTGTGAGGTATCTATAAACAGATTAAAAGAATGTTTATTTGACATAAATGATATATTTGCCAGCTGCCACCACAAATACCTGTAGGTTCTTCATCCTTTATCCAGTGTCAAGAACCTTTTTATTTAATATCTCTTTTGATAGAATGTTAGCTAACATTGGCATAACTATTATTAGCATGTGTAGCTTAAAATATCCACTTTCACTTAAAAGTGCAATTCAAAATTTTTATGTTGTCGAATGATTGTCACTTTTCTGATTCTTGAGTTATTTTTTAATTACTGTATTTGAATACAAGAATGATAATTTTAAATTTTTTATAAAATGTGCATGATATTTAAAATTTTTTTTTTTTGGCTAAAATTTTTGTCTGAAGAGAAGTGCCACTAAGAAAAACAATTTTCCATTTTGAAAAATTTTTTTTGGGAAACCTATTTTTGATACTGCCGAAATGATAGCTTCAAAAGTTAGGAAATGGACAATGAATTGGCAGTGTATAATTAAATCTTCCACAGCCTCAATTCATAACAAATAACTGTAAACCAAAAAGTGTCCAGATGTGGAACAGTCACTCCTCTGTGTGTAGAAATTACAGAAAAACTTGAATACTTTTGGCTTACATTATGACACTCTGAATCCACTTCATAGGAAATAGTATAGAAAAACATTTGATTCTAATAGATAAAATGATTAATGTACTTGATAAAATATATTTACCTTGATCGTCTAGTATCAATCCACTCTTTACAACTTTTCATAGCAAAATTACAACCCAAATTATGTCCCCATTTTAGAGGTTGTGACATGTCATAATTTGGTAAATACCATCTAAATTATAAAAAAATACATCATTGCATTTTTAAAAATTATATATTATATATGTATATGCTTATAATTAGCATCTCAAAGCTCAATACTATTGGGTAAGTGAGAGAGTTGTGGGTTCGAGTCCTACTCCAAGCCAATTCTAAATTATTAAATTTAATAAGAGCTAGCATCTAACAACTATCTCTAATACTAAATTAATTCATTTAGCATATTTATAAGCATTTTACTTTGAGGAATGAAAGAGAGAGAAAAGGAAGAAAAAAATAAAACACAAAATAGAATAAAAATAACAATATTTTTAAATTCTATAACAAACATAGCTATTGATCTTGAGCAAATACTATTTACTTATTAAAATCACAATTCAAGAGTGATAAATTGTAATGAAGAAACATTTAATTAATGCTGCTACATTCATAGGAAGTAAGCAATTTTGTTGGTCATCATAAATATTTCTAGCTTTATTTAGTGAACGTATAGTATGTTCAGCAAACTTTTGGTGGGGCTACCAAAAAGTGACAGACCTCAATGGCAAGATTTAATTTTTCATTTTTAAAAGAATTATTATTATTTTTTATTCAATAATAAAGACACTTCCCTCCATCTTATTCTAAGGACTAAAGTCTAAGCATTCTGTTTCAAGCAGTTGTAAATAAATCAGCTGCTATTTGGCCAAATATTTAGTATTCAGCCAAAAACCCCCTATTCTTTCTGTCCCTACTTGTTACATTCAAGCTTCTTCAGAATGTATAGAAAGAACAAGGAATTCAATTGCACAGAACAGTTTTTTTTTAATTTCAAATCTAAAAAAATATTAGATTTATACATAGATGCATATGCAATCTTATAATGATTGTATTTGTTTATTTTTAATGCCAAAGAAATTAATATAAATGATTCCAAATATTTAAAATTTGGACTGATGACATACTGTAGGCCCTTTGACATTTAATTANTACTTATCAAATAATAATAAATAAATGTATGTACCTGTTTAAATTTATTATTTACGTAAAATAAGTAATCCACTTTTAGTTATAGTTAGAGCTTTTTATGGCTCTCAGTTATAAGAGCTGTATACATCTAACGCAGTAATTATAAAATTTACGTACAAAAATGTAAGGGGTACTCGAGAAACAACTAATGGGCTAATGGGGTACATCAACAAAAAAGGTTGAGAACCACTGCTCTAGTGAATGCAAAAATCATTATAGGTGTTTATGGCAAATGATCCAATTAAGATAGCACATTTATTACTCATTTGGTTTTCAGCCAAATGATTTTAAATTCAAAAAGAATTTAAAATATGTTTACATATTTGATTATATATGTATATGCTTATAATTAGCATCTCAAAGCTCAATACTATTGGGTAAGTGAGAGAGTTGTGGGTTCGAGTCCTACTCCAAGCCAATTCTAAATTATTAAATTTAATAAGAGCTAGCATCTAACAACTATCTCTAATACTAAATTAATTCATTTAGCATATTTATAAGCATTTTACTTTGAGGAATGAAAGAGAGAGAAAAGGAAGAAAAAAATAAAACACAAAATAGAATAAAAATAACAATATTTTTAAATTCTATAACAAACATAGCTATTGATCTTGAGCAAATACTATTTACTTATTAAAATCACAATTCAAGAGTGATAAATTGTAATGAAGAAACATTTAATTAATGCTGCTACATTCATAGGAAGTAAGCAATTTTGTTGGTCATCATAAATATTTCTAGCTTTATTTAGTGAACGTATAGTATGTTCAGCAAACTTTTGGTGGGGCTACCAAAAAGTGACAGACCTCAATGGCAAGATTTAATTTTTCATTTTTAAAAGAATTATTATTATTTTTTATTCAATAATAAAGACACTTCCCTCCATCTTATTCTAAGGACTAAAGTCTAAGCATTCTGTTTCAAGCAGTTGTAAATAAATCAGCTGCTATTTGGCCAAATATTTAGTATTCAGCCAAAAACCCCCTATTCTTTCTGTCCCTACTTGTTACATTCAAGCTTCTTCAGAATGTATAGAAAGAACAAGGAATTCAATTGCACAGAACAGTTTTTTTTTAATTTCAAATCTAAAAAAATATTAGATTTATACATAGATGCATATGCAATCTTATAATGATTGTATTTGTTTATTTTTAATGCCAAAGAAATTAATATAAATGATTCCAAATATTTAAAATTTGGACTGATGACATACTGTAGGCCCTTTGACATTTAATTATAACAGTTTCCACCAAGAACAGGGTGATTGGATTTGAAGTAGTATGTATTATTTTATACCATTCCAATCTTGCCAATGCAGTACTTAATATATCCACTTTTATATCTGTTTTGTGTTCACTAATATACTTAGGCAGAGATCTAACATGGCACTAATGTAAACTACAATATCATGACATCATTTCTGAAGAGGTAGGTTACATACATAAGACTTTTCTATTGCTGTCCATATATCTATCATTAGAAATGAGCCTTTGTAGTGACAGAGATTGAGAAACAGGTAATTTTAACTGATGGGAATGTAACATTCTAGCTAAATGATATGTGAAAAGGTCCATAAATGAAGAGATACAGGTGTAAATCTTGCTTGCCAAATGCAAAGGGAGGAAACTTATTTACATAATAAAATTACAAACTAATAAAATTTGGAAACAATAAAGCCACTATTAAAAATAACACCCTTGATGCTACACAGCTGCTGCTGTAGATCACATGGTGTAGAACAATACCAGTAACTTCATGTATGTGAGGTAATAGTTGCATTGACAAGATTAACAATTTCTGAAGGTTTACATCAGATTGGAACAGTGTAAAAATAATACCTACATTTTTGAATCTTTGGTGGAAACTGTTTTAATTAAATATCATAAAGCTTGCTGGATCATCAGCCCAAATTTCAAATATTTGGAATCATTTATGTTAATTTATTTCTCCATATTATTGGGTTGTTTGGAAAGTAATTTCGTTTTTTCNAGTATAAACTAGTTTCAACTAGTTAAAACGCGTTCTAACTAAAAACGGGTTTTGACTGTAACAGATACAAATTGAAAACTGATATATAAGATCCATGATTTTGTGGCAGTTTGCCAAGTAAAGTGATGCAGTCCAATCTATCGCCAGTTAAATTTATTTAAGTTTTGTCTTTAATAAATAAATATTTCGTTGAATTATTTATTGATCATTTTGGTCAAATATTTGTTGTCATCGTTTCTGCTGGTAGCATGATTTCACATTCATAAAAGTTTTTATTGTTGCTTACAAAAAACTGATTCAAGTGATTTTTGACATTGTCATTTCAAGTAAATGTCTTACAGTTAAAAAAATTTTATAGACCGGAACAAGTAATAATCTGAGTGTGCTCAATCTGGCGAGTATGGTTTGTGCGATAGCATGTCCCATCTAAGTTATAACAGTTTCTGACAAGTTACCAAACTTGTGTGAAATTATCGTGGTAAAACACTATACCTGTTTTGTTGATCAATTCTGGCCACCTTTTCTGTTTGATGATAATACTTAATTTGTTTACTCGATGGTAGTACACTTTTGAATCAGTTGTTGAATTGTCTGGTAAAAGCTCCAAAAAAAAAAAAATTTCCTTAAAATCCCACTAAAGATAGCATCTCTCCTTAAAAACATGTGGAACTCATATATCAAACTTTGAAATGAAACCAATTCGTTTCAAGTAATCATAAACAGTTCAATTTGACTAATTTAATCTCTTAGTGATTTCACATTTGTTATTCAGCAGTTTGCTTCAATCAGTACCTTTTATTTTGTTTTCATTGGCTTCAACTGACCATCCAGAACGTGGTGCATCTTCAATATTGAAATTGCCAGAACGAAATTTTGTAAACCAGTTTTGGCACTGTTGTTCTGTCAATACATCTTCCCCATATACGTCACACAATTTTTTCTCGCTTGAACAGCATTCTTACCTTTTCGGTAATAAAAGAGCAAAATATGCCAAAAATGCTGCTTTTGATAACACAAAAAATAAACAATTGCACAAAATCAAACAAAATTTTTTACAAATAAGCCTTAAAATGCTAGCTGTCAAAATATATAATGATAATATGGTTTAGAATGAAAATGGCGGTAAAAAAACGAAATTACTTTCTGAACAACCTAATAATTTGTATATTTACTTACTTACTTTTTTAATGTCAACCATTATAGGACTGAATATGCATCTATGTGTAAATCTAGTAATTTTTAGATTTAAAATTTAAAAAATTGTTGTAGTCAATCAAATTCCATTGTTTTCTCTGTATATTCTGATGAAGCTTGAATGTAACAAGCAAAAATGCTTAATTAAATATTTTATTTTCAAATTTGGGTATCATCAGTATTGTGAAAATAATTTATGAAATATAATATATGTAAACTTCGTATATGAAATGATAAACTAATAGAATAATAATAGAAATAAAAATAATTACAATTGGAGCCATTTTGTAGTTTCTAAACTAGTTTTAAAGTTATATACAGGGTGTGCCATGAATTCGTAAACATTTTTAAAAATTATATAAAAAAACTATTTGGCTTATTTTATTTTTATTTACAAGATAGCCAATTTACAGGAATTTACTTTTTAAAAATAATATCATCTAAATGACCACCATCTCGATTTTAGCATTCTTCTAAGCGAGTACGGAAATTTTCAAAGACTTGTTGGCAAAGAGGCCTTGAGATAGCAGCCATCTCTTCTCTAATTTTTGCTTTTAATTGAAGCAGTGTCTTTGGCTTATTAGCATAGACACAACTTCAAATAACCCCAGAAAAAGAAATCTGCTGAGGACAAATTGATACTCCTGGGTGGCCACGGGATGTTGCCTTTCCTGGAAATCAGCTTTTCTGGAAACATCTCTAACTACAGGCAGGGACTCGTTAGACATATGACAAGTGGCTCCATCTTGTTGAAACCACATGTTCTGATTATAGCCAGTAAATTCCAGCAGCTGTGGTGCCAGGAACTCCCATAACATTTTCACATACTCAGTAGCATTAACAGTGACCATATGGCCACAAGAATCTTCAAAAAAATAAGGGCCAATAATCCCTTTTTTGAAACTGCTGCCCATACAGTTATCTTAGGCAAATGAAGAGGCCTAGCTTTAGGATTTTTGCTGCTCCAATACCTGCAATTCTGTTTGTTAACATGTTCGTTAAGGTGGAAATGGGCTTCGTCGGAAAACAAGATGTCAAAATTACTGAAACGATTCAACATTGCTTCGACATACGACTTGAATAAATTAAAATCATTAGGCTTTAGTTCCTGCACTAACTGGATCATGTATGGATGTAACTTCAAATCAAATTTCAAAATATGGTGTAAAGATGTGCAGGATATTCCTAATTCAGCCAAACGTTTGCACGTTGATTAAATGTGAATCGTTGAACTGAAGTGGCAACTTTCTGCACATTCTCTTCACTCTGAGAAGTCTGTGGGCCACCAGTTTGCTTTACATTTAGTGTTGATCCCATCAATAAAATGATCCCAAACAATAAAATTGTTTTATGCAAAAGGCATGCTGCGGCCCCGTGAAGTGATCCATTGCAACTAAATTTCCCAGAAATGAGCAAGCAGTAAGACCGCTCCCCGTATCCCCTACTGCTTGAGTTTGCACAGAAAGTTCAACTTAAATGTTTACGAATTCTTGGCCCACCCTGTACATTGATAATGATGTAATATGATAGCAAAATGTTATTTTAATTGTAAAAAATATCAGTGTAACACTTAATAGTATGAAACAGTAAATCTTTAAAATTGTTTTAAACATTACGGATACAGGAGTGGTCTTTTAACAAGATTTCAAATTATGCAATCTGGATATATTTGAATTCAAAAAATTGTCAGAACTATTTTAAATTAAATAGCAACTGAAGAGGGAACAAAATATACATTGTTACGAAATGTATTTGTAACAATAAGTTAAACATCATTGAAAATCTTTGGACATTTGAGAATTTCAATATAGCACTAACTTGTAAGGTTTACAGAGAAGAGAAAGATAGAATTTCATCATCTCTTATCCACACCAGTTAAAAATATCATTTTTTTAATACCAAATAAAACTTTAAAACTATTTTGCATTTGGAGTCTGTTTTATGTGCAACAGCCTGCATTATATAATACATAGTAATATATTTAGTATAGTTTATCTATTTTCACTTATCAGAAATATAACTTTGTATAAAATAATAAATATATATTTTTTAAAATCAAAGATAATTATAATTATTAAGTTTAATGTTTAAAGAAGAATTTCTAATATATATAATAAAATTGAAACAAACCCAGTATCTTCCATCAAAGCTAATGTTATCCTTGAATATACTGGATTTTGAGTATGTGTTCCAGTCATAGCTTCATTCTATAATATAAAATAATAAATAGTAACAAAGTTTTATTTTTAAATATTCAAAATAATTATACAAAGTACCTCAAAAAGTCGCTTTTCCCAATGAGTAAGTACAGTTCCATCACCACCTTGATCCTCCAATTCAGCTCCTTCAAGAAATGAACAATTAAACTGTCTTCTAACTTCTTCCTAAAAATTAAAAAATAACAACAAAAAAATTAAATCATTTTACTAATTAATGCAAATACATATATTATCTAACTTTAATGAGAACTGCTTTAATTTTTATGAATTATTCTGGACTTTTTGGAGAATTTAGATAAATAGACTATTTTCACATTCAGATATATTTTTTTAAATTAAGATACATTTCATACGAATTGTATTTTTTTTTTTTATAATAATTAAAAGTGGGATAAAGATGAGAGTTAGATAGAATACACTTAACAGTGTATTCTATCTAACTCTCATCTTTATATAAAATATTAAAAAAAGTGAAGAATATAATTTTCCCAATCAACTTTTTACATAAAACAAATAGGTTTAAAATTTACTTTTTCATTTTTATTACATTCTTTAGTTTCCCCCCCTGATACAACAAAGCATCTCTTATTAAATTTATCAATGTAAGTTTAAAAAATATGATAGATTTATAAAGATTTAATAACAATAAGATATTTGATAAGGATATTTATGAATTCATTCAAAATTATTTACATATTTAATGCAAGAAAAATTTATGCCTTTATTTTGAGATATTAATATATGCTGTAGTTTCTCTTACATTCTCTAATAATTCAACAAAACCTAATAACAATGCAGGGTATACTATTATAAATTATTCATATTTAGTTAATTGCATATATTTTAAGATATTAGGAGAATATTACTTAAATATCCAATGACACAAGCTTTTTACTTCAAAAATGAACAAAAATTATTGCATCATTGTAATGCCAGGCTGCAATTTTTAACCATATTTTTAATTAATTTAATTTAAAATATATGCTCTCAATCTCAAATTAGTAGTGTCTTGCCTCTTGCATCATACTTTTCTGTTAAGTCATGCCAGTCATCAATTTAACTCACATGACTTGTAGTCTCTATTGGAAGTTTGTATTTAGTTAATTGGGGCCTCTCCTGCCACAAATCTTTCCATATCTGGTCTTGACTTTCATCAAACACCATTCTTGAGATTAAAGAAGGACAGACATGCAGACAACAGTGGGAATTTATAGGTCTACAATTTTTTCAAATTGCAGCCCAATAATTATGAAACTGATTTTTATAGATTTATTTTATATAAAAAGATGATTAATTTAAAAAAATTTATTTGCTGGATTAGTTTAGATCTTTTAATACAATAAAAAAAAAATCCAGCAACATTTAAAACTGCATGTGTTGTGCCATCTGTTATAAAAAGTTTTTAAAATAAAATATCATATTTTTAATTATTATAAAATGGCAAAAAAGCTTAATTTTGGGGGTAGGGATGAGTTTAATTAAAAAAAAAAACTGTAAATGCTAATAATGAGTAAAATTGTCATTAAATCCAATCCTAGTCGAGATATGATATACAACTCCTCTATCACTCCACCCCATTGACCTTTAACCACCAAAATTTAATGGCATCAATCCTCCTAATACACAACCTTCCTGCAAAATTTCAGAAATTTTTGACAAAAAGCACAAGAGGTTTTTTATCAAACTTTAAACAGAGTGAACAAAATTGTGCCCCCACTCATACCACATCCATATATACAGAAAAAAGCCTCAAATTTTTTTTTGCATTTCTCAAAGTTTCAGGGTTCAGAGTCCAAAAAATGTAAAAACTTGGAGGATCATTTTTTGATTGATTGCCATACTTTCTTTCTGTTATAAAACAGAGCCAAGAAAGTAAAAATGCAAATATTATCTATCCTGAAAATTTTTATATTTATGCATTTAATTTGTTTGATGGAAATATTTTGATAGTTTAATTATTGAAATATAAAGGTGCATATAAATTTTACTGTTCATTAAGATAAAACTAAAATCTAATTTTTATAGAAATGCATGTAATAAATATTAAATTCACTTGTAGTGGAGGTAATGGATGGCTGCCGTCAGTTAGACGAAACCTGGCCGTCTTTCTCCATCCATTTACATCTCCACAAAGACTGTCTTTATCAGAAGGCTGTAAACGTGACTTAGTTAAGTCCACGACCACGTTTTAAACTAAAACAACATTTATTTACAATAATCCTCGAGTACACTTGAAACAGAGCTACACGTGCTCATGGCAGCGATCACCCGACAAGAAGAAAAAGCAACAATACCCAGAATTCTCTCTGGGAAAAACCCAGTCCCCGTTTTTCTATCCAGGATTCCCAGGAAACTCGTAAAGGAGTGGTGCCATCTCACCAGTCTGTGATTTGTCGCCGCAGTAGCATAAAATATATTTGTAAGATTTAAAGTTTTGCAAATTGAAACACTTGCAAAATTTGTTTTAATATGAAAATATATTAAAAAAATTTTACCAATTACTTACAACAACTCTTGGTGTAACAATCATATGTACAGTTTTTTTTATTGTAGTTCCACGAACTTTCCATTTTCTTTCCACTTTTCTTATAACTCTCTCACTCCATTGATGAGCCTGAACACTAATAATAATCAGAATATTAGATTATAATTTTTTTTTACTTTTATTCATGAATTCTATAAAACTAAAAGATTTAAATTATTAAATTTTTTTTAATGTTATTACATAATAAATAATTTTATTTAGTCAGAGGACTTTCATCAAATGAGAGAAGGTCATGCTGATTTTTTAGAAACTGTGTTCAAATGAAAGCACTTGTAAAACTGTGTCGTCCTTCCTAAAGATTGAACAATTAGAAGTTTTTCTTTGGTGTGTTCTCTTTTTTGTCTGTGTTTTACAATTATAACCAATTTATCATTATTTGTTTCTTAGAGTTATTTAATAAATTTTGTTGTTTTCTTGTGACAATATAATAATGAAGGTTTATATTGATATTATAATGTTCACTACATATTCCAAATATATTTGTCTAGCCAAATGTTAATATAAGAATGCAAATAATTTAAAGAGAGATTACAAAAAGCATTAATTTAAAATAATTTTTTTCCTTTCATAAACTATGTTTTATATATATATAAATTTACATAAACAAACAAAATAATATTACCAAAAGTACTAATTTAGGTCTTAAATGCTTTAAGCATCTACAAGTTAAAAAAAATTTAAAATTTTGCTTAATGTAATAGTGTCATGGTGTGCCATCTATGAAAGCTGTGGAATCACCACTTTCCTTGTATTTTCTAAAATATAAATACATATTGTGAGATTATTTTCATATTTAACATAATATGAATTAATGAAAATTAATTTTTTATTATAACTACATTATGTATCTTATTACAAATTTCTATACTACATGTGAAAAACAATGATAAGATTACTATTGTATATTCAAATAAAAATTCGTGTATGCATATTCCCAATGGAAGCACTGTAATGTTGGATATGGGACAGCTTTCAGGGCAAAATTATTTGATTTGGGTTAAAGCAGCTAAATTATACACATTCGTTCATGCACTTTACAGAGCACCAACCTCACACGGTTTAGCTCGTGGATGCTACACACAAAAATATTGTACAATGCTTCCAATGGTTCTATCCAGGGCCGGCACAGCTTCCCTATTATCAAATGTTACCGCATGCCACTGATGTAATAACAACGAAATTCTGGTTTCAGTATCTTCAAATAAGTGTGCCTTTTTAAGCTTTCTTTTTGTGTTATGTTTTAAATATGAGCAAATTATGATTAAAACAGTTGTTTAAATTGCTGTTGTTAAAGCTGACAGCAGACAAACAATATTGGATGAATTATACATTAACTTAAAGGTTTAACTAATTAACAAACATTTTTTAATTATTATTATTATCAGTTTAGGCAAGTCCCAAAGTGATTACAATAAATGAACTCTACTGTATCATAATATAATAAATCTATAAAATTTGATATATTTACTATAAACGACCATAGATGAATTGCATAAAAAATAAATTCATATATACATGTGTATATCTAATATAATAGTTTTAAAATGTCATTCACTATATAATGTTACACAAACATTAGTCATATGGTGCCATTTTCATTTACTATACCTATTATAAGCAGTTGTTATTAGAAAGCAAGAATGTTTCCAACAAATATTTGTATTGTACTATTTATTCTTTATTTATACAGATGATATCACTAAGACAATAATGGCCACCCCAGTACAACAAAAATAAACAATACACAAAATTATTTTTTTATTGTCATCATTAATTAAATTTGCTACTTTTTATACTTTATGGCTTTCTTTTTAATTTTTCAATATCATTTTATGTTAATTATAAATGGCATTTCTATTGTAACTGCTGCTTACAAGAAATAACTTAACATTCTCCCCTCATGAACTTTCTAACTATTTTCAACCAAAATTTCAAGTTGGATTCTATCACAGGTAGTAGCAAGTTTTTCTCTGCTTACTTAATATAGGCTTATATTCTTCAATTTTATGTAGTTTGAAATAAAATAAGGCCTAGGCCTACATTAAACATTTTAAAGTAAATGTTACTGTTATAGTTGTATTATGCATGAAAGAACTGCTCCTTGGAATGTAAGGCAAAACCAAAGAATCTCTTGCAATTTTGAAATGATAATTGAATGTCAGAAAATATTAAAATATATATTAAGCATTAGACAAAATAAGGTCATTTAGTTTGAAACAAAGAAGTACATACTTAAAATATTGTTTAGAAAGACATATTTCTACATTAGGTTTGATTCATTTCTTACTTTCTGTAACTATTATAGTGTACTAGGTAAGTGACCTTTGTTCATCATATTATGGAATATATAAAATACTATTGCAATCAACTAGTGTACATATAAAAACTTAATTAAAAATTAATTGAATATATATTATTTATGTTTGAAGAATAAGAAAAAAGTCCTCTGGACTATTCTTCAAAAATATACACTCACAATTTTATGGCTGTCACTTTTCACTGTAACTCCCACTTAAATTGAGATATTTATCATAATTCACACTCTGCAAGAAATAGTTTTGAGTCTCTTTAGTGTCAAAAAGCTATTTGAGAAATAAGTGAGCAATGACTGAACAGATTGGCATTAGCAAACATTCACAAGGATGTAAAAATTAAGTTATAAAATAGATTTATAACATTTTCAAAGACTAGAAATTGAAAAATAGAAATAGAAGACTGGCCCAATGAATAAAGGTACTTATTAATTATTCAAATATTTTTAATTTTTGAGGTAGCTCCCTTTGGATACTTCTGGATTTACAACTTTGAAGTCTGTGGCCATCAAGATTATCCTTTAAATCATGAAAAAGATAGTAATTATTAAACACCAGATCAAAGCAATATGCCAGATGTTCAAAGACATCCAAAATTTAGTCATACAGAAGAAAAATAACTTATGTAAGCAATCTAAAGCATCTTTATTTAATGATAGTATTGCATACCAATACAACTTTATGGTCCAAAAATACAGTAACTATCTCTTTGTCAACAGAATTGACAACTTTGAATTTCTTCAACACAAGATCCAAAATGTTTCAACTTCATGTTTCATCTTTAATCTATGATTATGAATCCATCTTATCATCAGGGATTATGCATTCAAGAATGACAGATCACAATTCCATCCTTTGCAAACTAGTAGCTTCTAATAATGTTCATAGAACTTATTGCATCTTATAAAATCCTAATTCATGAATGATGTCTTAACTCCATGATCCTAACAACTATTCCATGTAACAGATTCAAATTGTGTTGCAGTTCACTAATTGTAATTCTTGTTTTTTTTGTAAACTGTGACTTCCATATGCATCTTGTCAGGCATGCTTGATGTTGTGATGCTTCTCTCACAATAATCCTACCAATTCATCCAATCCTGATAATTATCACTTTGCCTTATTTTACCAACCCAAACACTATTCCTGTAAACCTTAACCAACTGATGATGATAAAGTTTATCACTAATGTTTTTGAAAACGTTAGTTTTCAAAAATTCTGTGAATAATAAACGTTTTCAAAAACATTAGTGATAAACTTTATTATTCACAGAATGCACTGGTAACAAGTTTGAGACAAGATGTTGAGTTAAAATCATGTTTATTTCATAAATAAATAATAGCAACATAATGCAAATTATCTTTTAAGACTCATACTTCTAAAATGATACTTCTAATCATGAGTGATAAAATTTTTGATCTTCACAGGTACCAGCCAAAAACTTTACTAACATTAAAGTACATAATTTTATAAGCTTTATAGAGTGTCCACTTAGGCATCTATCCAGGGATAAAAANATTGTCATTGTATTCAAATTTATACTTGATATTTTAGTTTTTAGTGTATGGGTTACATTGAGAAATTGTAAATGCAGTGCACTGCATATGTTGGTTATTCCGTTGTATTGGCTGGTTATTGGTTTTGTAATTGTTACGTTGTTACCATGTGTTTGTAGGCTGATGACGGGTCCTTGTACCCAAAATGCATACTTACCTAAATATGAAATATGATTATTAAAGACCAACCCTTTTTTATAAAAGTTCTGGTCCTTCTTTCTGTCGGCCTTGGTGTGATAAGCCCTGCAAATTGTTATACTCTATTTACTGTATTAGATTATCTAATTCTATCCAAAGTAAACATAATTAAACTGTACGTTTTGGATCATTGAATTACTGGTGGTGTTCCTATACATCTGCATATGCAAGATTATGGAATTCTCAAGAATTTTCTAATTAGAATATAGCCAGTGATCTCAACAAGAAAGAAAAGAAAAAGTAAACAAATTTTTTTAAAATTTAATTGGAGTTAAATTACAATTAGAACAAGAAAAGGAAGCATTACTCAGCATCTAAAAAAATGTAATTATACACTAAACTTATTATCCAATTTAAATGTTATAAGTGAAAAATTTCTAATAAAACTTACATATAACAGTTTCAAAAAAGCATTTTTTCATATGTTGTATTTAAAAAAATACAATTATTGAGAGAGTGTTTCTAAATCCTGGGGTTTTGTAGACAGAGAATTAGGACAAAGATTTGCATGTCCAGCAATTGGCCTGAATAAAATATAATCATATAATTAATTATTTAAAAAAGAAATTCAAATGTTAAAAATTACACAAGCACTTTGAAAATATTGAAATTAAATAATGTTACCTGTCTAATGCAGCCTCTTGCTGACAATGTGCAGCATATGCTACAGTTTGACCTTTCTGACATCTTTCAGTTTGCATGGCAGACACATAGAACACAAAATCTGCATCTATAACACCTGGCACTCTTGGATCCCCTAAAGTTTTGCAAAAATGACCACCAGAGCTGCAAACTCTACAAGGCTGTAATAATTTTAATATTTTAGCATAATAAGAAAATTGAAATATGAATGAAAACTAAGTTTATATAATTATTATTTTCTCTTTCCATAATAAAAGTATCTATTATTTTTGAAAAAAATATTCAGTAAAGAATTTGTACATCCATGAATACTGATCCTGCTGTTGGACCAGTAATGCAAATTACTGTTGAAGAGATTAAAACAACTGTAAGAAAATGAAAAATGGAAAAACAACAGAGCCTTATGATATACATCTGAAATAAGGAAATTACTTGGACAACAAGGTGCTAAAATTCTTACTATACTTTTCAACAAGATCATCAAACAAGGATGCCCACCTGCGACTTGATTAACTAGCATCACCATACCTATTTGGAAAAAAAGGGATATGTCAGTGAATGCATAAACCAGTATGTCTACCTTGTTATACAATGAAGATCTTTGAGTGCATCCCTGACAGCCACCTATGCACAATTGTCAAAATCACTCCAAATCAATGCGGATTTGTTAAAGAATTCAACATTAATGTTATTCATACTGTCTGCATACTTAATAGAGAGAAACAGAATAAAGAATAAGCACATTCATATTTGACTTTTCTGGATCTGGAAAAAGCATTTAACAAAGTATCACATGAGCTCATGTGTGAAGTTACCAATTTGCACGTAATGACAGGATGTCGAGCAGTGCTGATTCGTTTGTGGGAATGTTGACATAGGGACAACTCTCCAGTTACAATCAATTAACCTGGTTTATTGTACAAACATACTTAAAACTATACGATGCACGGATTCTGTCTCCTGGTCCTCCTAGAAGTTGACAGCCCTGGGCATTATCAGTCAGCAATCAGCAGTTGGAGTAAAGTATAACAAGTCCAAAGTAAAGATGATGATGTCAAAAATTCCCTTTTTTCTTTCCTAAAAGATGTTCACAATAGTAAATACAGATAGAGAAGATCTCTATTTCCTTCAAATTCTAGATTTTATAACTTTTTTAGGTCCCAAATTGACCACTTCGATTGTTGTTTCTATTCATCTCTACTTTCCAATTGGTCGTCGCTTATTATAAACTATAGCAAGATTGGAACCTAGATCATGGGATGAGTCAAATTGTCTGTCAATTCGATCCCAATCAAAGATGGTTGATCTTAGAACTTAGAACTCACATTCTTCTATTGTTATAATATGGAAAGTACACTGTTTCTAACAATTTCCTTTAAACATATCCTTTTATGGATATGAAATTTCTGCCCTTCCTTTTTTAGCAGTTTTATAAAATATATATTTTTTTCTATATATAAGAAAACAGAATTTATTTATTTGTGTGGTTCTGGTCCAACAGAACTATCTGGTTGGATTGGTTCCAACCAGATGGAATCAATCCAATTTAATATGTTATACCACATCGTCATTGTATTCAAATTTATACTTGATATTTTAGTTTTTAGTGTATGGGTTACATTGAGAAATTGTAAATGCAGTGCACTGCATATGTTGGTTATTCCGTTGTATTGGCTGGTTATTGGTTTTGTAATTGTTACGTTGTTACCATGTGTTTGTAGGCTGATGACGGGTCCTTGTACCCAAAATGCATACTTACCTAAATATGAAATATGATTATTAAAGACCAACCCTTTTTTATAAAAGTTCTGGTCCTTCTTTCTGTCGGCCTTGGTGTGATAAGCCCTGCAAATTGTTATACTCTATTTACTGTATTAGATTATCTAATTCTATCCAAAGTAAACATAATTAAACTGTACGTTTTGGATCATTGAATTACTGGTGGTGTTCCTATACATCTGCATATGCAAGATTATGGAATTCTCAAGAATTTTCTAATTAGAATATAGCCAGTGATCTCAACAAGAAAGAAAAGAAAAAGTAAACAAATTTTTTTAAAATTTAATTGGAGTTAAATTACAATTAGAACAAGAAAAGGAAGCATTACTCAGCATCTAAAAAAATGTAATTATACACTAAACTTATTATCCAATTTAAATGTTATAAGTGAAAAATTTCTAATAAAACTTACATATAACAGTTTCAAAAAAGCATTTTTTCATATGTTGTATTTAAAAAAATACAATTATTGAGAGTTTAGAAAATATTAAAGCAGTTAAACAATTTGTTACAGATTTTGCTTATCCACTATATGTATTAATAATATATAAAAAAAAAAAGCTATCAAAATAGATAAAGAAGAAATGAAAGATAAATATAGAATGATAATTGCAATTTTTTTATGAAGAAAACTTTTAAGAACAATTGAATGATGTGAAAATAGTAATATAGAAACTATCTACTCTATTTTTGATCACTTAAGAAACGATAATAGTAACATACTAAAAAATAAAATATCAATATTTACATATTGATGTAGGGATTGTCACTTGTGGACATTTTACACTGTTTTACATATTTGTGCAGAGGCATAGCCTCTAAAGAAAAGTTCTCTCTGCAATAGAAAATAGTTGTTCCTGGTGATTGGACATGGCAAGCAATGAAGATAGGACTAGTATCCATCTGTAATGTAATTTTTACTTTATTAAATTGTAATTCTGCCAGCCCTTTTTACAAAGAAATCACTAGAATGAAGTTTATAAAAACAATGAAAAAAAGGTGAGACAACAACATTCAATAAAAACATATTCTGATAAACAGGTGTATGCTAGGTATCAAAATAATTTTTATGAAATATAAAGGAGCACCAATCAAGACCATAAAAGAGATATTAATAAATTCTGTTTTCCTAACTTCATATTTATGTCTGAGTTATGGAGATTTTAAAGTTTTTGTTGTAATTTTTTTTTAAAGTTAAAGCTTGTTCAACTTTTTTTAATTATGAAAATTTAAAATTTTTATTTAAAAATATTTGAATGAGTATACATTTCCTAATTGGAATTTAAACATAACTGATTCATTATGAAAGTTAAGTTTGGTGAAAAATTAATTTTATTTCTTTATACTTATAAATTTAAAAAGTTCAAAAACTGTAAAATAAACAATTTTGTTTAAGATCCATAAAAATGAAGTTTCTAAAAAATTAAAATCAGATCAACAGAAATGAAGCTTAAAACAATACAAAACAAAGTTCATCCCAAGCTTTTTAGTTATCATTATTTATTTCTCAAGATTTTAATTTAGCTTTAAAAAATGATCTACATAAATTTAAAAGTAATTATAACACACAAAATATTTCTCACTGTTAAAATTTAAATCATATAAAAACTAAAAATACCTCTAAATGTTCTTCTGGAACAACAACTTCTCCACAAGTAGTGACATTTTCACAACGATCTATGCAGTGTTGTTGTTGTAGACTTTTATCAGGAACAAAAACTTTATTATTGGGACATTTCCTTCAATATAAAAAATATAAATATTAGAAACAAATCTATCATTATTAAGTTTTTAAAACAAAATGAACTGTTTAGCATCTCAATTATAATATAATACAATATAATAAAGTTAAGTTTATTGGAAACCCTTAATAACTCATCACATTTCTTTTTTAAATTAATAAAAAGTGCATAATTATTAATTAACAAATAAACTTAAAGAAAGTAATTTCAATTTTCATTAAAATGAAATTGCTTTCTGTACATTTATTATTTAATTAATAACTACTAATGTTGGTGAAAGCTATAAACTTTACTATAAATAAATAAATAAATAAATATATGTATTAATTAAATTTTTAAAATAACTTTTTCAATTATATCAACATATTAAAATTATACAAACATTAAATAATATATAATTAAAAAATACAAGTGTAATTTAAAACCAAAATTAATATTAGAATTGTTGTTGGGGAGGTATTTCTTATTTATGGTTTTACCTTTGCAAAGTTATTAATAATTAGAAGTCATTGTATATCTGTGATAATTAGCTTTAATTTTTAAATTATTTGTTTATTTTCAATTTGTTCTATATTAGTCAAATTTTTTTATTTAATGTTGTTCATATTGAAAGGAATTGAAAACTGCTTACAATATATAATTTAATTGTAATGAAATGTGAAATATTTTAATCAAATTTCCAATTTCTTGGTAATTATGCAATACTTAAAAATAAAATTATTAAATCAGATTATTTTTTTTATAAAAAGCTTTGTAAATATTGAGTAAAATAATTTGTTTACTTTTTCAATGAATTGAGCTTTCAATAAAATTAAATATAATTTATTTTATCTACTTGATGTATTTGTTATTATTGAATGTATTAAATACTACACTTAATAACAAATCTAAGCAAGAAATACATCTAATCATTAAATAGATTACTTCATAAAATTTTGCATAAAATAAGGATTTGACTAAAATATTTTATTAAATATTTTAAAATTTGTAATTATTAAGCAATTAATAAAATACATTTTGTCATAATAAAGAATACAATTAATATTTCAATTCAACTCTAATTACTAGAATTTGAAACTCAACTAACTTTGTTGTTAGGTTTATCAACACTCCAGAAATTAGTTGTAGATCAACTAATTCTATATTCAATTACAAATAGTCCATCTAAAATCGAAAAACATATTTATTGATTGATTTATATTTGCCAATAAATTTTACATGTTTTCTATTGACATGGGGATATTAATAGAGTTACTCTACATTTCTTTATTTTCTAATAACTTATAAATAAAAATTTATGTTTACTATTAATATTAATTTCTACTAAATATGTTAAAATTTTTAAAATAAAATTTCAGATATTTATATTTCATGACCCAGAAATTTATATACCATCTCCTTAAATCTGACTTGTTATTTACAAAATTACAAACTTCTTTCTTCACAATATAAAAACTTTATTTTTTAAAATACTTTTTTGCTGAATTCATTACATACTAATTTTACAATATTTTATACTACATTTTACAATATTTATGTGTGTTCACAAGCTATTCATCATATTAACATACATAATATTTTCACATTTCTATGACTTCGTCTTTTGAAAATAATCCAATTTGTAAATAAAAAGCTATTAATATAGTGGGTGTATTCATAATATAAAATAAAAAATATTTACTGAAAAATAATTTTGCTTATATGGAATTGCATTATAACTGGGGGGAACATATTTCTGACATAACCTGTTCTTTGTAACTATGAGCAATTTAAACTAGTACATAACTTTAATATTTTTTTCTATATCTTTGTAAATAGCATTAATTTATAAAATATTCATGTTTGGTACATGTACTGTTAATTTAATCACTTAAATCATTTTGAAAAATAATTGTGATCTTATAGAAGAGAAGAATATAATCTTTATAACATTTTAAGAATAAAATTCCATAAAGCATCAAAAGTAAATACCTATAATTTTAATTGTATATATGTTACGGTGAATGACTGATATCTGGCAAATGTCAGCATTCACACAGTCGTTTTGTGTATGTATGAAATATTTGCTAAATACCATTATTTCTCACTTACACCGGTAAATGTCAACATTCAGCATGCACTGATGGTGAATGTTAAATAAAAATATTTTTATTACGGTAAGACAAAAATGCAACTTTTTAATATGTCAAAATAGGAGAAAGCTTAAGTAACAGCATATGTAAATAAACTGTTGAACCTAAAACAAACAGTACATTCTAAATCATTAAAGAAAATAATACAATAATCAACTTACAGATAAATTATGTGATTAACGTTATACAATTTTATTTATTTATTGCAACAACTTTAACTGTTATGGCACTTTGAATTGACAAGAGTCCCTTGCTTTTACAATTGCATTTATTCGTGGAAGACTTCTTTTTGCAATGACAGTGTGTATAGCCCTCCACTTTTTGAATTAGCTGCAGCTCCTTCTCTCAGCAATATTTCTTAAGAAGAAATATCATCTATGGAAAGTAAAGTAACTTTTCTTTACAAATTACAGACTGATTACGGGTATAAAGCTGCTTGAAGGTACCATTTTTGTTTGCTAATTTATAAAAGTCGGAGTCTTCTACTCCAACAACAACTGCCAACATATTTCGGGCATCTGTACGGCCATGGTGGACATCAGGGACTTATATTCATATGGTATCACCAATTTGAGCAGAAGGAAATGTTCTTTTTGAGGTTCGTAACATTTTAGTTGCTTGCAGTAGAAGGTTCTCTTTCGCGGCCACTCTTTTTATAGAAATAACTTTGTGTTGTTCAGTCAGGGCTTGATATGAAGACGTGATGGGTTGCAGCTCCTCTTCAATATTTTCCTTTGGAATATGGTATTCGTTGTGGCCACTGCTCAAATTTTATTCAAAAGTATTAACAATTTCTTCGACCTCCATCAAAGCTTATCTGTGCTTGTCGACATACACCGGCGATTGTTCGAATGTATAATAATACAACCAAATATTCGGTCTTTCACCGACGTATTTTGTATGTGTTGACATTCACCGGAGAATATCGACATTGTGAAGGTCCGAAACCCTTTTTCTGTTTTAGATCAGTACAAATCTAGGAATTTTCCTAAGTAAAAGAGAAAAGGGGGACTTCTACGGTCAATGATCGAGACGCTCTCCTCGAACAAGAAAAAAACGGAGAATGTTAAAATATCAATAAGAGAAATCATCTCTATTTGTTTAACAGTTATTCTCTAGACGTTAGTATCAACAAGAAGGGAATAAGAGATATTTCTTATCACCTCTTGGTTGCACGTAACACGTGGTTACGGCAATAAATCGCCTTGTTCATAGTCAAACTCGACGTTTGATATAAACAATAACTAAATAGTTGACCAGGTTAAAGAAATTATTGTCAAATGATTGTTAATTTATGGATGAGAGCCATCAAACCTATAGGAATTTATATCATAAAATCATATCATTTTGACACCAATAACAATAAATTAAACAAACTTCGCTGAGTCATTTGTCCGAACTAGCTAGATCCAAATATCAACACACTAGCAGGTGTGCGG